TTTTAATTTATATATATATATATATATATATATATATATGTATGTGTGTGTTTGCTTATATATGATTAAAGAGAGATATATGATTAAAGAGAGTGCATAGCTGTTTGTTAAATGCTTGTATGGAACCCAAGTCTTGAGTCCCAAGAAATGTTTTCTATGTTCTGCTGACACCTGGTGTATCCGAAAGGAATTTCACGGTTGTTCTTGTGTTTGTCCTTTACACGCTGCCGTTGTTACGTTATCAAAAGGTTAAACAAGACTAGCTTTTAGCAAGCTAACAGCTAACATCAATCTCACAAAATTCAGGTAAGCACAAATAAATTGGTTACATTTGAATATCGTTACTCACTGTCCACAAATAGAGTACCAACTAATACGAAACACAGCATATTTTCAGCATTTTTCGAGTGATTATTAAATGTAAGCTCAACTTAGTTTAGCCACTGGGCTAACGAGACATGCATAAATATTAAGAAATGTGTCATTAACTCCCACATGAAAAAAGACTGTAGCAATTTATAGTAAATACTGTAGTGTTTTTGAACCATACTATAGTAAAGTGTATTTTACTGTATATATTATAGTATTTACAACACTTTTTAATGAATGCTACCGCATTCTGTAGTATTAACTATAGTGAACTGATAAACTGTAATAAATACTGTAGTAGATCATAATCACTTAACAACATGAATTTGAAAAACAAAAGTAAAGACTGTACAATTAATTAAGTTACTTATTTATTTGTCTATTTATTTTTGCTCTTGCTTGCTCATAAGTGTTATCTCATAATAAATGTAAGCTCATAATATTTGTACTAAAATGTAAAATATCATGTGATGTAGTGGTGTTTTTGTTCCTACACCACTGCTGAAAGATTTTTTTTCATGTTTTTGAGCGAAGTCTCTTTTGCTAACCAAGGCTGCATTTATTTGATCAAAAATACAGGAAAAACAGCAATAATGGTGAAATATTATTACAATTTAAAATATATATATATTTTTAATTTGAATATATTTTAAAATGTAATACGGTATATTTCTGTGATGGCAAAGCTGAATTTTCAGCATCATTACTCCAGTCTTCAGTGTTACACAATCCTTCAGAAATCATTCTAATATGCTGATTTGCTACTCAAGAAACATTTCTTATTATTATCATTGTTGGAAACAGTTGTGCTCTTTAATATATTTGTAGAAACCATACATTTTCAGGTCTCTCACTATAGTATTTACTATAAATTACTATAGTATTTTTTTAATGTGGGCTGCTTATATTTCATCTGCTGTTACATGTGTTTAATTTTTCAGACAGATTAGTTTTGTATAGTAGTTATATTTATTTTTAGTATACCTTTAATGCTTTATTGTCCCTTTATGACCTTTATGATTCTTTTGGTTAAAACAACAGACAGAAGCTGCTTTATTACACCTTGCATGTTTCTAACAATCATGTCGTACTTGTTTAGTCCTCCACAATAAGAGGAAATGTCTTGGAGTTTCTTTAGAGCTTTACTGGGCTCAACACATTTTTGCTATCATCCATGTTTTGTCAGGTGCCTACTAAACATCTGTATTTGTTGTGTAAATAGCAGTTTTTTCCTTTATTTCAATAAGTATAGTCGTGTGACTACTTTTTCCCACCCAGGTGAACTGTAAACAAGAGAAGCCCAACAGGATGACCAGTGTAAGTGTACTGTAATTGCTTTGTCTTATGCAAAGTGGATCTAAGTAAATGCAACACAATCTAACATCATATATGAATAAAAGATTATTGTTTACATCTTTTGCATTTTTCATGTTTACATCCACTTCATAAGCACTATGTATAACTGCATGCTGTTTTGTCAGGTGCTCTGCTGCAGAGCTCGGCTGGTGACGTACCTGCCTGGGCTTCACATTCTAGTTCATCGTGTTGTTGGAGCCAGGACTTTCTCTGGGGCGTCCGGCTCAGATGAGCCACACCTGAGCAACACAACCCCTGACACTGGTAAATGAGTGTATTCCTCTGTAGAAGACTAAATCAACTGTTAGCTTCCAGTAAAATAGTTCATGGCAATACCTTTACAAATAGATTTGATTACAGGATATTTGACACACGGGCTAATAATAACATTTGCTCTTGTATTTCTAGTTGATTGTGTTTTTACAAGGTGTTTTCTAATGATCTGTGTTTGATATTTCTGTGAATAGCACAAAGGACAGTGTGGCCAGACGAGACCATGGGCCCATTCGGACCTCAGGATAAGCGTTTCCAGTTGCCGGGAAATGTGGGTTTTGACTGTCACTTGAAGGGTCCAGCGGAGCAGAGGACTACACCAATCTACAGCGTGATGCCAGACGTGCTCACTGCTCAGTCCAGCAGTGAGAGGCACGACTTCATCCTGGCCCAGTTAATCAATGAGCTTCACGTATGATGCTTTCAGAGTCATTTTAAATGACAGAATAAATAAATAAGTAGTAAAATAATAACTTTATTATTGGTTGTGAAGCCATTAATGCTTTAACCCTCTACCGCACGCATTATGATAGACCTATAGAAAAAAATATTTGAATCTTTTTCTTTTCTAAGAATGGCTTAACTTGAAGTGCTGTAAAAAAAATTTTTGAAAAAAATATTATTTTAAGGTACTTTATGATATGTTGCCATACGGCAACAGCATACAATAGTGGATCTAACTTAGAATAAGTGTAAGCTTACTTATAATTAATATTTTTCCTCAGAAATGTTGTTTGTGTTGATTCAATTGGTGCTATTATAAGCTTTAACACAGTACTTACTTATAATTGACACCTTATACATAAGCTCATAATATTTGTACTAAAATGTAAAATATCATGTGATGTAGTGGTGTTTTTGTTCCTACACCACTGCTGAAAGATTTTTTTTCATGTTTTTGAGCGAAGTCTCTTTTGCTAACCAAGGCTGCATTTATTTGATCAAAAATACAGGAAAAACAGCAATAATGGTGAAATATTATTACAATTTAAAATATATATATATTTTTAATTTGAATATATTTTAAAATGTAATACGGTATATTTCTGTGATGGCAAAGCTGAATTTTCAGCATCATTACTCCAGTCTTCAGTGTTACACAATCCTTCAGAAATCATTCTAATATGCTGATTTGCTACTCAAGAAACATTTCTTATTATTATCATTGTTGGAAACAGTTGTGCTCTTTAATATATTTGTAGAAACCATACATTTTCAGGTCTCTTTAATAAATATAACAAAACCGCAAAAGAATAAAAAGAACAGCATTTATTAGAAATTTTTGTAATAATGTAAAAGTGTCACTTTTATTAATTTAATGCATTCTTGCTGAAGAAAATATTATTATAGTATTAATTTCTTAAAAAAAAAGATCATACTAACCCCAAACTTTTCTCTGTTTCTCTATATGTTTTTTAGGAAAGTGATAAAGCATCCACAGAACAGAACGTGGATAAAGCAGAGCACTTTTTCAATCATTCCAGTGTGGAGTGTGCCATTCAGTCTTGCCCTGAATTGTTAAAGAAAGGTCTGTATGTTGCTGTTTTAGAGTATTTGAGTTGATCAGATTTAACATGGACTGAGGTTATTTGCAGTGGGGTGAGCTCATTTGTAATGGGTCAATGTAAAATGTGGCCACAAGAGGGTAGCATTTCCATCTGTATTTTAGGCACTGAATGGTGTGGTTGTCCTTTATTCCAAAATGTAAAAATGTTATAGTATGTAATTGCTGTACAGATATTTTTCTTTTTATATTCATTAATGTGTGCATTCCCTGTTCATCATCTAATTCAGATTTTGAGTCCATGTTCCCTGAGGTCCCATCGACTGGCATGATGGTGGTCACTGTGACTCAGCGAACACAGAACGACATGACGGCCTGGACTGAGCAAGTGGACCAGGAGAGAGAAGAGCTGCTTGCTAAAGTGAGTTGATCTAGTTGCTTTAATCTGTTTTGATTCTATAATATAATAATATTATTATAAACATTATGTATAATATAAAATATTATATTATTTCTGTACACACCATGCCATACTGAAGCTGCTGTCACTTAGTATCAATGTAGCTCCTGATTAATTAATCATATTTTAGCCCTTGCCTATGACTTTGCATTGTCCTTGGGCAAAGTTATGTAGCTTTAGTACAATAAAACTCCTTCAGAATGCATGCGTACGAGAGGGAGAACTTTGTGACTCAGCAGTGCCTTCAGCGCTCTGTGTTATTTACTGTCTGCTTCACATTACTGTGGAGTTCCTGTCTAATTGGCGTGGAGCCATGCTGTAGGAATGCTGCAGGCACTGTATTATTCTCATGCTGTTGTTTGTTTGTGAGCCGCTGCATTCAGAGGAGAGATTTATAACTAAGCATGTGCCAAAACAGTGTAAGCAAAACTGAATGGAAGCTCCATGGTTAAAGCTATTCATTACAGATGAATGGTGAATGAATGGTGAGAGTTGATAATTGTGTTGTATGCAGTTTGTTGAAGGTGCAAAGGAGATATGTCATGCTCTCCGAACAGAAGGATTCTGGGCTGATTTCATTGACCCATCATCTGGACTTGCAGTAAGTCTTATAAATGTCTACTAAACTTTTGATGCAATCTGAAAACTTTTCTTAATCTCTCTGTATTTCTATTGCATTTCTCTCTCCTCAGTTCTTCGGTTCATACACAAACAACACGCTCTTTGAAACGGATGAAAGATATCGCCATTTAGGTTTTCAGATCGAGGACCTGGGCTGTTGTAAAGTGATTCGGCACGTAATGTGGGGGACGCATGTTTTTGTGGGCACACTTTTCACCACAGCGCCACCCAACAGCCAGATCATGAAGAAGCTACAAGGAAACTAAAGTTAATTAGTTAAATATGCTGAGTCGTCATGGGAACACTATTAATATCAAAACCAAACCTCAGCTTTGAGATGATTAGTACAATCAAAAACACATTTACATCCCATTATGCACTTAATGAAGGTGCCCAATGGCTGCTGCTGGAAATGTGTATTTATTTTTGTAGATCAAAAAGCACTTTTGGTGTGACTTTTATTTTGGGTGCGTGTGCTACAGAGGGAAGTTCTGTCACATGTCCAGCATCTTTCAGTCTCTCTCTTCATCTATGTTGCCTTTCTTGTACTACAGACCTCAAAGAAACTAAAATGTGACAGCTAAAAATATTTCCACAACATTGCTCCATCCAAATCTGTATTTGGTCATTTTTTTGTCCATACATTATATTTAAAAAGTTTTAGTTGTAATTAAGAGCTTTCAGTTTAATTCAGTATTGTCAACTTTCTTCATTGCTCCATGATAGGCACAATAAATAATTAATAAGTATCATTGGCTGTAATGTTGGTTTATTGTTTGTGCGAACAGTTTGGAAAAACCATCCATTAATCTAAACGGTGGAGCTACCAAGATATAAGGCCTTAATGACTCAGTAGTGACATGCATTTCAAGTGAGTAGACTTGGTAAATGTAACTAGAGTTAGACTGATAATTGGTTTGACAGAGATTTTTTTTTTCGTACTCTTGTTGGTTCTTCATCATCAGGTGCTTTTCATAAATTGCATAATTTGGTGAGTCTGTAAGCACATTATTATTAGGCAATATTTGATAAAAAATACAGTAAATAATAAATAGTGTCAATAAAAAAAAACATACACAAAGTTCAGTGATTTACCTGTCTGGATTTTAGCCGGTCTCTAACCTAAATGGTGGATTTTTTGTCCTTATTAGCCTGAAGCAATCAAAGCTGGCATCTGCTGAGGTCAGTGTCTCAAGGGTGTCATTAGAATTCATTCAAACGCACAACAGATGGACTATAATCATTCTCTTTTAAACTCTGACACTACCATTAGTTTAGACAGTTCTTCACTCGCCATTAGCACATGCCTGTCAGTCATTTGTGCTTTTGAATCATGTGGCCCTTAACAGCTGATCTCTCCTTGATGGAAAGTCCCACAAATATTCTCTAAAAGCTATAAAGAGTTTATTTATTTAAATATTTTGCATTATATCAGATATGATCATTTGCTTACATTGTTTTTCAGTCCTTCATAGAAAATTTGATTGCAAACAAATTTATTGTGAGTGCATTGAATCATTGAAGTATATACTGTACTATGGTTTTCTTCCCGTGGTAACCCGCATCTGAAGATCTCATTTAAGATATTGAACAAAAATAACCTGTCATTATGTGTGGGGTAATCAAAGTGTGCGGTTGATCAAAGACGGGCTGTGTGTGGATGGTGAAACATGTTTTCGAGACAGCAGTCATCACCCCATGCCTGTCTGATTGACACGGCTATCAATTAGATGTAATTGTCCTGCTAAAACTTGGTTCCTCTACTTTGTTCGGTGGAAAGTTCAGTCTTAACTGTTTCACTGAATTCAAACTGTCAACTCATTAACAATATGATTATATTGTCAACTGGTCCTTTTATCATTCTGAAGGAACAAAGTGTTCACATATTGTTTCAAAATGGCAGAGTATTGTGTTTCATATGTATTTATAGTGCAAAACAAAAAAGCTTCATTTTTTTAGTTGACATATACTGACCTGTTGACCAAAAAATAGTTAATCAAATTTACACCAGACAAACAATGTTGTTAAAAGTCTCTGATCTGTCTCACAGCTTTTCCTTTACTGTTACTGCTGAATGTGTTGTACTGTTGAACTCTTATCCTAGTAATATGCCCTAAATTTTACTAGGCTTCAGCTAATTGTTGAGGTAACAAAATAAGCAGCATTCACACTTTTATTTCAACTTTTTTGAGTGGGGTAAAATAAATTATATTAAATACATTTATTGACAAAATCAAATCAAATACATATTTTCTTGTGACATAAATATGTAATATTTATAAACGTTATGTTTGACTAAAGCATTTGCAGTGGTGGAATCATTCAAATCACAGGAGAAAGTCAGGATCATACATTTTTAATTGGGGTTAGATATCTAGGTCAGACAGCCATCTTGTTGCTTTTCATGAGAAATAAATTATTCAAACAAACCCCCACCCACCCGACCCCACATCCTCTAAAAACAGATTTTTTTTAAAGAAATGGTATTAGGTTTAAAGATCTACATATTTGATATATGTCCTGTTAGATCTGGAAGATAAATCCTTGATTTTTAAGAAATATGTTAACAGGAATTTTTATTAAATACATACATGCATGCATTAGTAATAACAATAACAACAACAACTATAACAACAATAGTTGTCAGATGTTTGATGGAAGTAGGAATTCCGAATGATTACCCATATTTTTTGAGTAATGTTGAACATTTTTTGAGACACAAGTGACAAGGAAGGAATAAACAATTTGAGTCCATGTTCACACAAGAACTGAAAGTATTTCCGCATAAATGTAAAATAGTGTGAGTTGGGTGGGAGGCACAGAGCACTTCTGTCTCCTGTTAGTAAAGTGACAGTCAGCGCCAGGTCTGCAAAGCAAGGGAAAACCTGGTGTCAGAGGTCTGTTCAGACAATGGAACGTTCCCACTCGTTATCTGCCAACACTTTCCTGTTTTTAGAAAGCAGCTAAGATTTACATTGGCTTGGCCATGTAGAGATCCGAACAGTCATGCACACCATTAAAGGTATTTCTCTGCACTGGGCAAACAATGGAAGGTATTTTAGCACCGTTTCTCTTGTGGTCATTCACTTTTTGAAAATGTGTGTTTTTAACTTGTGTTTCTTTTTGTGTTGCCAAGATCAAGTTTTGTTGACTCAGAAGCTCAGAGTCTGTGTATTTGGACTCATGGAGAGCATGAAGCCAACAGCAGCTGGTGTAATGCCAGACATAATGTGACCTGTGTATACTTGTTCATTCGGTACTGTGTATTCTTACTCATAACCCTTTTAGGGTTTTCTCTGCTGGAATTTAATTGAATTCGACTCAGATTAGAGTTGAATGAATTAGAAAACTCAGACAGAATGAGTGAGAGCTGCAGCTACGCACATACACAAAGCAACTGGATCTTCAGAAACAACTTTATTAGACTCGGCAAACATGATGGTGATCACTGATAATTAGGCTCATATGCTAATACTTTTTTAGAGCAAATAATTCAGTAATTATATTTTCAATATTCTGTTATATGCTGTAAAAATGTAATGTTCTGTCCTTTTGTTTCTGCCTTGCTCACTCTTTTTGTCTGTGCCTCTTGCATTGCTGTTCAAATGCAGGTTTTTTGTTAGAATTTTAGAACAACAGAAGCAATTTTTAGGATTCATAATTCATATTTTGGTGTATCCTGAGTCCTTATTCCTCCCGTGTCTGTCATTATCGTGTAATTCAGTCATTGTGAAGCTGAAGCTGTGATTGTGCACTTCTCTCAGTGCAGTCCTTCCTCAAGTCCTCCCATCACACTGCAGCAGACTTCCAGTCTGTCCTGTGAGATTTTCCCACTGTCTCCGTCTTCCTCTGAAGACAGTTTTCACACTTACATCATTATCTGTTGTTGTCTCCACCCTGTCCCGGAAACTGATAGTGTATTCACACACCAAAAAAGCAGTTACATTTTGTCCAGCATACATGATTTATGACTAAATTGTAGTCACAGATAATTATTTTGAATGTTCATGAAAGCCTGATGAGATCAAAACTTTGGTCAGATCTTAAGAATATTTTTTATTTTATTTTTTGTGTTTTTGTCTCTTATGTTCACCAAAGCTGCATTTATTTAATCAGAAATACAGTAAAAACACTAACTATGTGAAATCCTCAAAATTCTAATATGCTGATTCAGTGCTCAAGAAATATTTTGTATTATTGGCAATGCTGAAAACAGTTTTTGCTGCTTAATATTTTTGTGGAAACCATGATACATTAACATTAGAAATTTTGGGGTATGGATAGGATTAAAAAATACTTGTATTTTTCTGCAAGGATGCATTAAATTGCTTAAACAGTATAGATATGTATAATGTTACAAAAGATTTCTATTTCAAATAAATGCTGTTCTTTTGAACTTCTTATCCTTAAAAGAATCCTGAAAAAATGTATCGCGGTTTCCACAAAAATATTAAAGCACCAAAAACTCTTTTCAGTAATGGTAATAACCATAATAATTGAGCACCAAATCAGCATATTAGAATGATTTCTGTAGCATCACGTGACACTGAGTAATGGCTGCTGAAAAGGGATCATGTACATTTTATAAAATGTAAAACTTATATTTTAAATTGTAATAATATTTCACAATATTAATGCATCCTTGGTAAGCATAAGAGATAAAAACAGTAAAAACCTTAATTATTCCAAACTTTTGACCAGTATACATTTAACTGTACCAGTAATCATTGTTATGAGCAGTCTGTGCTAAAATCACTAAACAACTGCCTTATTATCTTGCTCAATATTAAAGCTATATTTTTATGTGTAGCTCAGTCATGCCGAATCCAGACGGCTGTTATTTTCCCACATTAAAGAAGGGCTGTGTTTGTTTCCATTGCTGCCCAATCAATCCTGAAGCCCCGCTGCAGAGTAATTAAAATCTCAGCATGGCCGTACTGAACAGGATATGCTGCCATGCCCTCCAACAATGAGGGTCATTCTTTGGACTCCAGACCAGGTACCTGAAACCCAGCCTGCTACAGCTCTTGAACATTAAAAACATGTTACTGCTCATCTGGAAAGTCAGCGCTAGAGAGGAAATTTGACTTTGTATCGGCAGGGAATGAGCCGAGAAACTGGATTACTAAAGCAAGAAGATGAAGGGAGCTTTTGTTGTGACTTGGAAACGTATCTGAACGTCTGTCAAAATTTCTTTGTTTTTATTCAATTACTTTTAAATGTATTTAAGACCCTGCAGCTACTCTGTTGTATTGTTTGTCCCCTCACTTTTCTCTTATAAAGCCAACTTTATAAGTCATTAGAGATGTATTTTTCTGCCATCACATCACAGCAGATTGATACTAAATGCCCCCATAAAGTTGACTTCATTTTCAACCTGTAGTCCAACCTGTAGTCCAGCACAAAAGGTGTTTCTTGTTTTAAGTATATCACATAAAATTTACTCTTAAAAATATTAACTAACAAACTAATACAATTTGACTTTTTTTTTTTTTTGTAGTTTGTACACCTGCTTCATCCTGATTAGTTTGGCACTGTTAGCAGTTATGAACTCGACTAGTGTGGATGTAAGAGATCAGTGTAAAATTGAACAAAACAGAAATATCTTTTGTGTGAATAACCAATGCAAGCATCATTTGAAGAGAACATTGACAAACTCATTTGAGTTTTATGTTGAATCATGATGTGTGTATTTTAGCCAAAACAAACTTCATTTCTTTAGAATATTGTTTTTATTATCAGTAAACAAAACATCAGTAAACATTTAAATTTAATACATACAACACAGGTAAGAGACCACAGAAGTGTTACCAATGTACTCCAAAGGTGTGATTTAAAAACATATCCAAAATTATGTACACAAGAATATACAGGGATTTTACAACCAAGCGTAGAAAAAAAATCTACATTTATAAGAAGCCTTGGCACACGATGGCATGCAGCATTCACAATTTTGTAAGTATAAAAAGATCACGCAACCCTGTTACAAATCTGTATTTTATATTATAGTTAAGATGAGAATAAAAACTGATTTTGAAAACATCTTATGTACATAATGTTATAAATCTGAGATAACGAGAGCTGATTTTACATCAGCACATTCAGAGACATGTTTAATGCATATGACCTCAGATTGTTCAGCCGGGTCTACTCAAGGTAAAGGGGTTTTGTGTATTACTAAACTGGCACTAACTGGTCCATAATTACCTGAGTGAAGGTTTTGAGCCCTTCTGTGATCACCATGCCCTTTATATTGTACTGAAGTGAACAAAATGATTTCAGTGAATGTTACAATACTTTTCATAACTCAACAAAAGATGGATAAGAAACAGGAAATAGCTTCATTTACAGCCGGGCAGATCGCCTAAACCAATCATAACGCCTGAAAAAAATAACACTGTCACTGCAGACTCAACACTTTTTGCTGATTGCACAGTCAGCCAGGAATCATGATTAGGAAATATTATAGTACACAACAACGGACTGACAAATGTATAGGAATATATATATATTTATAGCCCTTCACTGTAGGCTATATGGACGTTCAATGCACTACGCTTTCACATGATAATCTGTACACAAGTGCTTTAGGAATACATGTTGCATTATGACACAAATACACAGTGCAAAACTAAAAGAGAATGTTCTTTTTATAAGAGTGAGGAATGCTGGACGACACACTGAACTTGGTTCTATAGGTGCCAAACCCTTTTCCATGATGACAAAAATACTCTTAAGAGTGATGAGAGGGGTGGGTGGAAAATTCATGTAGCTTGACCCCTAAAGTTAGGTTCATACCTACACTGTAAAAAATGACTGGGAATTTAACGGTAAAAGACTGTAAAAATGCTACAGTAAAAACCTGTTAAATGGTTAATGGTAAATTCCCCTACGATATACGGTGAAAAACTGTATTGGACAATACATGTATTGGACATTAATTTTACGGTAGTATACCGTTTTTGAGAGTGAAAAAGACCGTATAATTTACAGCGAATAACCGTAAATTGACGTTCCCAGAATTCCCTGCGTTACATTTCAAATTTGATGTTTTTTTGTTGAAATAACTATGTTTTTTCTTATCAGTTTTGTATATTAGGGTTGTGTGTTACACCTACTGTTGTTAAATTAATGTTTATTGCATTATTTCAGTTTGGTGTTTAGCGTTTGTGTGAATGACACTGTGCACCTTCTATATATGTTATTATTTAACAGCTGCTTGTGATGGGCTTTGGTTCATCATGTGACTTTCTCATCACCACCTGCATTTGGTGGTTATCAGTGTATTACAAAGTTACAAAACAGATTTCAATACTTCAATAGGTTGGTATATTAACATTATATCAGTTAATGAAATTACGGTATTTAACTGTAAATTTAAGTTAAAACCGTAAAACCTAAAACGTTGCTACCATATTTTTTATGGTAAAATTCCGGCAACCACAGCTGCCGGTTTTTTACCGTAAATTTTACGGAATTTTTTTTACAGTGTACAGCCAACAACACATAGTTCAGCTTCCTACAAAAACGAATAATAAAAAAATAAATATATCTATACAAATGTACAAAACACAACTAACATTAATACAAGTAAAAAAAAAAATGTGCAGGTTTGTGTCAGTTTTGCCATAAATATCCCCATCCCATGTCCATCGCGAAAAACTCGGAACCATCGATTAGACAAGTTCATTCAGCTTCAGGGAAACCACCCAATATTTTTTTTTTCATATCGAACATTAGTATAGGATTCATAAAAATGTATTCAAAGGAAATAAAAAGTCCAAGAACTAACACTTCATTTTGAGGAAAGTAAATCCCACACCTGACTGGCACAAGTCAACGGTTTCCTAAATGACTGCCATAATGGTTTATTCCACTCCGGGCGATTCTCTCAGTTAATACTGTGGAGCATCAGGCTGATGATACAGACAGAAAGCAGCAGCGTGGGACTCTGTGCTGGTTGAACGCTCTCGTTAATGGGAGATGTGGGGGCAAAGATGGCGTCAGTCTCGTTTTGTGGGAGGGGCATGTTACAGATGTTCCCCTCACAACAGGATATACACACCTGGATGGAGAAAAAGCAAACAATAAACAGAAGTGTTAAATGAATAAAAAGTTAAACGAACAAGTGTTAAATGAATAAAGAGATGTACACTTCCCGAAGGAATGCCAGTGCTTGAAAACACGAGAAACAGCACTAGCGAACAGTAAAAAAGCACAGAATGCAAGGTTCTTGAGAATAATGAAAAAAAAAAGAAAAATAAATAAATAGTTGAAAGATAATTTTTATCTCAAATTTCTAAAAGTTTACAAAAATTTACACCATACCTCAGGATGAAATTTTCTACAAAACAAAGCTAGTGTTAAGCGTTTTGAGCTAAATCAGTTGCTGAAGTTGATTAGGCCAGAATGTTAGTACAGTGCTGCACTGTAATAAAAGGGTCAACATCACCTCTCTGAACATAAACAGTAAACAGTCATTATTTAAAGTTTACCTAGAGAAAAAAATCACTTCAGACAAACACAAATACATTAAACCTTTTTTAACCCAAGAATGAACCTTCAGCTTCTAAATTTTCCCTTTTAGTGTAGCTGTGGCATCTTTACGCTGCATTTATCTCTCAATCTGGCCTCCTCACATTTGCCCCCTGCCCTCTGCATAACTCCTGTCCTGTGCTAGAGGTAAAAGGTAAGACACACAGAGTTCAGGGAGTGACCAGGCGCACCTTTCAGCAAGGATTACTCAAAGAAGGATTACTGAGAGAGACGGCAGCATAACTCACACCTTTATCTCATCTGCAGCGAAATCACTTGAGAGGATAAATGGATTAACTAAAGAGCTGAGTTTAGTGTCGCTGACTGAGCCAAATCCTACAGGCAGCAGAGCCGATCAGAAATGTGTTCATCAACCACTCGACATGTTTTCTTTAAGATCACTTCAAGTGGACTGTGTAAAGTGAGATGAGAAGATAAACGAGGATGGATTTCAGCAGGGCGAGCAAAACACAAACTGGACACGTTTGGTCTGAAACATAAGTTACTTGATATAATGTGAGTTGTATCTCACCTTGTTTCCTTCATGATCCACCTCAGAGCACCCTGTTGCAAGACAGTCTTCCAGCGCCACACAACGCTTTGCCACCGACACTGTGTTTCCATCCCAGCTCATCTTATGTTGTGTGTAGCAATATCTGCTCTCTAAAAGTTACAAAGAAGCTTCACTTAGTTTTCTCAAGGACATACTGTATACATCACAAAAGACAGCTTTAAATTCTGACTGATAAAGGAGTCAGATTTCAGTGAAAAAGCAACATTCCTCCAGGGATTTTTTTTTTGCTTCGGATATTGCAGAACTTGCTCTCAGCCACTTTAAAAATCTTTAATAAGTGCCCTTGAAATGTGAGTCTTACAGTAACACAGTATTGCACAATATTTATGAACTATGTAGAAACACTGAACACAACCATATTTGAGCATTCCTGGAAATATATACATTCCCTGCAAATGTGCAGATGATCTGCAGCAGCATGCGCTTTACTGAAGGAATGAGTGTCTGTAAGGGGTTACAGCTCCTGAGTCATTAACACAGTGCTGTAAATCAGACCCAAAGCAGCACAGGACTCCTTATATGGGGGGCTATTCATGGCAAAAACATGTACTGAATACATACATGGAGCAACTCATAGGCAAAGCAGGACCTGAAACATACTGACGCTGCATCTTATTCACTAAATGCACTTCAATAGCACTGCACCTAGACTATTTAAATGCACCGTAATTGTTTCATTATAGATTGTGCCTTATTCAAAAAAAAAAAGCCAGGGCTTTTTTGTTGTTGTTTCACAGAATGACAAAAATACTGTACTTTTGTTTCAAGACACACACTGCAAGACAAAGAGAAATGATGAAATGTCTTTCAAAGGAATTCAGACTGCTCTGTAGTAAGAGCGAGGTAATGGAGTTGTTGGTACCTCGTGGACAGTAGAGATCTGGAGCCCAGCGGTTGCATTCATAGTTGTCAGGTGCATCTTCACATGTAAAACATTTAAATCCTCCTGGATATGGAGTTGCTGGGAAAACAGATGACAGAAGAATAATAATCAATGTAAACAGAATGGAAATTATTTGGTAATAGCAAAACTGCTGGTGAAATCGGTTAACTTACATAATTATTATGTGGAACAAAAAACAACAATTTTTGTTTGCTTTTTGTTTTTGAAAGTTCCCTTTCAGTCAGTCACGTTCGACGTTACGTCAGTCGTGACTGACGAATTGGGATCTCGCCCGAGAGCCCAATCACCTTCGAGTGTTAACTAAACA